CCTTAAATTTTTCACTCTTTGTTATATTGCAGCCATTTGCTAAAATCATTTAAGTTAATTTTTATTTTTGGCTATTGCTACAAATATACCCCAGCGACTTAAGACTGGGGTATATATATATACTTTAATAATTTTCCATTGTTATAGTTTGAAGCAATATGTTTGTGTTTGATTCTTTGTATTGTTCTGCTCAGTGAACCTTTGAATTGTTTGTTTGCAAAAGTTTGAGCCTGGAGCTTCTTTATCTTTCGATGCAGGGAAGCGTTTTGCTGCCTCTGTGAATTTGTTTGTCACCTTTGTTGATTGTGAATATCCAGCCATATCAGGCCAGAGCCGAGGGAAGAATGTGGCAGGATGGATCCAGTAGAGGAATTCTGCCATAGAAGAATAATTAAAGCTGGAAATGAACAGGAGTGATTCTGAGTTGAGATGAATTCAGTGTCGTCCAGAACAGGAAGTTCTGATTTGATCAGACTCTCTCTGTAGAAAGAGGCATCGCCAGCCAGAGGCCCTCAGCCAGGTTTGATGCCAGTCTCTTTATTTCATAGCCAGTGTAAACGTGACAGTGCAGAAATATATTAGATTGATCAAATAGCTTCCATCCTCATCTGCTTGATAAGATGCAAGACTTGAGATTTGTGTGGATGTCATGTACCATGCTTCTTCATTTCAAAAAGTACTGCATTTAAAACTTTTATGTCTTTTTCTTAAAAATGAAAAATAAAATTATACTTTTATTTATTTTTTATATTAAATAAATGTATAATTTAAGATTTGTATTTATTTTATATTTTAAAAAGTACATTTCAAATTTAGTCTTAGTCATTTAAATTTAAACACATTAAACACACGCACATTTATTCACATTAAACATATACATTTCTCATTTCATCACTTGTGGATGCATGGAATTCAGCGTTCATATGTGCAAGAAAGAAAATGCAATCATTATTCAATGCACACGCACATGTGCATGCATGAAAGAATGTAATTTAGTCCTTCACATTAAAAGTAGATTTGCAAAAAATTATGTAGAGATGCATTAAATTTAGTGTTCATATGCACACATGAAAGAAAAAAGCAATAACAATTCAGTATGCATGTAAATGCATGAAAGAAAAGATCAGCTGTGGTTCAGCATACGTATGTGTTGTACTGACTGCATACACTGAAGTTTTTTTTTTCTTTTTCTCCTTCTTGCAAGAATGAACAACTCAATTCTTTTGCAAATAATACAATGACATCATCAGCGATGGTACGATTTCTGAATGTCGAAGTGACCTGAATTTAAAAAAAAGTGGCAACAGAAAGATTTTATTCTGACCTGTTCACATCCTCAGGCTCAGATAAGAGCTATTTTTACTAGTTAAAAACTCGTAATTACAGTAATTCAGTGGGAATTTTCAAACTTTAATGTCAAATTTAAGTGCTACAGATATCTGTTAAGCAGTCGGAGCTGAATTAATTGGAGAATTTTGTGAAGACGAAGAAAAAGAAGTCTGAGGGATTTCAATAGAGTGCCACTTTGAAGCATTGTAATTAATTGATCTTATATAACCATTCAGAGTCTACCACACGTTTTTAGGCGCTCGATGATTCAGCCGTGACAGTGAGAGATATCCCTCTTGTTCTTTCAGCGTTGATTAATAGCGGCGTGCCGACCAGCCTAACCTGCGTTTGAAGGACGTTGCTCTGCTCACTAGCTTTGCAATTCAGAACGAGCAGCTTGAAAAGGGTCTTTTGTGTCCCTCAGACCTGATTCCCACTAGTGTTTCTTTCAGTGTTGAGTAGTGCACTTGAGAACATGTGCCCTGATCTTGAAGAAGACAGTACGGATGTTTCCTTTAGCCTTGTGGAATAAAACTCTCGAGCAGGTACGGCTCTAGTGTGATTGTAGTGGCCTGAAAGCACCAGACACCTTCATGTTTGCCAGCCGAGAGTCAGCGCTAATGTGGAGGAAATGAGATGAGAAGATAAACTCTTGCTGAGGTCGCCCGCCTGCTGATTCTGTGCTTTTATATAGATTTCCAAGTAAAATTTATGCTGTTACATGACAGCGCTCCACCTTGGTATAACTCAGCTTAATAATTCATCTAAATTACCACATGGTTAAACATTTACAGGAGGGCTTTTAATAGATCGCTGACATTCATTTTCTAGAATCTAAGAAAGATAGGACCAAGTTTATCCAGACCTTTAGGTAGAAACCCTTCTGATCTGGTTAGTAAGAGTTTGTTCGAAACCATTTGCATGCACATCATGGCCAATGTACCAGAGGAAATCCAGAGGATTTGTGCTGTTTCAGAGTGCAAACTATATGATGATTTTAAGAATGTCTACTTATATTATTAATAATAACAACAACAACTGGTATTATTGTTGTTATTAAAAATAGTACTTACAGGATTTTTTTTCAGGGAAATTTTCAGTGTCATCATTAATATAATAATAATAATACTTAGGTAATTTTCATGGCAATTTTCAGTGTAATCTTTAATAATAATAATATGTAAATTATGTAAATTATTAAGTTCAAGGTGATTTTCAGTGTCATTAATAATAATAATAATAATAATGTTGATGATGCTGATAATAATAATAATAATAATAGTTAATTTTCAGGGCAATTTACAGTGTTATCTCTCACACGTCTTTTGGTTTTGAAAAGAAACGAAAAGAAAAGAAAAGCAGTCAAATAGCAAAAAAACACCAGAAAAAAACTCTTTCAAATGTTAATAAAACAAATACAATTTTCAGTGTAATCTTTAATAATAATAATAATAATAATATGTAAATTATTAATATTAATACTTATATCAAAAGTTCAAGGCCATTTTCATTGTCATTAATAATAACAATAATATTAATACTTATAGGTAATTTTCAGGGCAATTTTTTGGTGTCATCTTTAATAATATAATATTAATAATAACAATAAATGTCAATAATAATAATACTTATATCAAAAGTTCAAGGTGATTTTCAGTGTCATTAATAATAATGATAATAATAATAATAATGTTGATGATGCTGATAATAATAATAATAATAATAATAATAATAGTTAATTTTCAGGGCAATTTACAGTGTTATCTCTCACACGTCTTTTGGTTTTGAAAAGAAACGAAAAGAAAAGAAAAGCAGTCAAATAGCAAAAAAACACCAGAAAAAAACTCTTTCAAATGTTAATAAAACAAATATAGCTTTATCTATAAAGAATTTTGCCAGAATGATTATGTAGTTTACAGTATATTCATTATGTATTCATTATCTTTATTCTGCATGATAATCCCTAACAATGTTTATTTTCTAGCAAAGACACATCAATAAAAGTTTGAATCTTCTCAAAAATGTCATTCAGCCAAATAGCAACTATTAAAAGACTTTTTAAACAAAACGCTAAAGTGATAAATAAGGACAATACTTATATTTTGTGAATATACCGTCTAGTGCTGATGCAAAGTGGCCTGCTGTTGCTATGTTAACCGCCTCAAATGGGCGCAACTTCTGTTTGCCAGCTTTCCTAGTGGAAAATATGAACTTGTCGTCTAACTTTTTGTCCTGGAGAAATGTTGTTTGTTTAGGTTAAAGTGTTTTGATGTCCTTTGGGTGCATTCGAGTCTTAAACTGCAGCTCAGACTCCTGTAATACACAGAACTCCTGCGAACTCCAGGAATCAGTCTGCGCATGAGTCTGGCTTTCCGGCACTTTTACTGCGTCCGCTTGGTGCCACGGACAGACCTGGTTGCCATGACAACCTGTTCCTTTTGTGTGTGTGTGTGTGTGCTGTGACAATGTGGTCACCCCCGAAACCGCTCTAGAGCAACAGCCAGCACAACAATGCTGACGTGGTGAACCTGAGAGACAGAGATCAGAAGAACGTGAATCATTCTGACTCGGGTGAGTGCATAACCACCTAGAAACACACGAGTAAACACTACTCCCGTTTTCTTCAGAGAATGTCAAAATGAAGTTTTTGTATGGAGTTTGCATTTCTTTGCATGTCTGATTGCCCTTTTTCTCTCTGTCTTTGTTCTGTTCATCATTATGGAGGAATATCTCCACCCGTCCACAGCTGATCTACCTATCATTTTCACATCCCCTAGCAACAGCTCTTTAGAAAACTAAATATAACACTTGGTAAGGTGTCGCACCAGAGCCGTGTGTGTACATGCATGTGGTGCAGCTGTATGCTGCAGAGTATTGTTTCCATACAGATCCAGCTGTATCCATGGGCATTTGTGTGCTGTAACTCTCACTGATATATGACATTACACTAATTGTGCTTTCTGATGCCAGTCGTCTTGACAAAGAAAAGTCCAGATCAAATTTCAGCATAAAATCAAAAGAAAGAGTATAACGGATATTAAACTGGTCCTATTTTATGGCACTCTTTTCATGACAATTAAGCATATTTTTCACCTAAGTGAACATTACTGTAATGCATCCTGAAATGTAACGGTTGCATTTAAAAAAATTTAAATTTGTAATTTTTTAAATGCTGCCATGCATAAATGTTTGTTTGTTCATTTATTTATTTTTTTACTTTATGAAATTTGGCATATTGTTGTAGTAGTCTGGAATCTAATCTATTTCATTTTATTTATTTTTAATTAAGTAATTAATTAATTAATTTACTTATTTATTTATTTTGTATTTTTTTGTATTTTTTTTATTACAGTAATGAGAATGAGGGTGAATGTGTTTCATTGTTATGAAAATAATGTTCAACAAATGGCCCTAAATGAGCATAATTTTCTTGCAAAATGCTAAATTAATTTTCTTATTGAGAAAAGTGACCTGGACATGTTGTTGACCAGTTTGGTGAGATTCGCCTGTAGAGATTTTCTGATTTAATACATGGGTTACTGAAGTGTGTGTGTGTGTGTGTGTGTGTGTGTGTGGTAGATGAAATGGAGGGCTATTATTTGTAAAGTCGATCCGGTGAAAATAAGATAAAATTTCAGAAAAGTGGAGACTGTGATCTCGTATTGCCTTCCAAGACTATCAGAACGGAGTCCAAAACTACGACCTGCAGGATGCCGTCACTTTCATCGGCTCCAACACCTTCTACATCGGCACGGTGAGCAGCAGGACATTGTCTGAGCCGGGTCACATCCTCAACGTCTGAGGAACGTTTAGCTCTCAGTCACAGGCCACTTGCATATATGTTGATCAAGGTTCCTTGCAAAAGAAATTCTCATTTAGTTTTCCACAATCATTTTCCATCCTCTTTAAGACTTTTTAAGAGAGATTTGCAAGACTTTTACCATGTATATTATTGTACATATACAGTGTATGTATAAATTATACAAGTGTATATATATATATATATATATATATATATTAAATTATACAAGACTTATACATTGTTTGGCTTAAAACAGTCAACAATGAACACATCTACTAATTCTTTGTAAGTACTATTTTTCACAAGTCATCAAAACTGTGAAAACATATGGGAATTATGTAAAGACCAGTAATGTTAAACAAATGAAAATGTATATTTTCTTAATTTATTTTTCTTTATTTATATTAATAAATAACTACAAGCGTTAAATCATCAACCTTTAGATGAAAATGTTGTTAAAATCAAAAGATAAAAAAAATAAAATAATAATAATAATAATTTTTACTGGTAGTGTTTGTGAAATTATGACAGAAATACATAAATATATATGTAATATTGCATAACTCTTTAATATTTATATATAATACATGTTTAGATTATATTATTAGTTTATTATTACTACTACTACTTAGTGCTGGGCGGTATACCGGTTCATACCGAATACCGGTGTTTATTTTTGTTATGATATGAATTTTTAAAATACCGCAATACCGGTGTATGTCGCTTAAACAACGTTCGGAACGCGACTGTTTGAAAGGGGACCCTTTTCACTGTTGCACTGTGGTGAGGGACTCATGCATGAAAAAAAATGTACCGTCATGTACCGTGAAAAATACCGTGATATAAATTTTTGGTCATACCGCCCAGCACTACTACTACTACTATTACGAGTAGTAGTACTAGTAGTAGTAATAATAATCTGATAATTGAACATTTATATGTATTTTTATTTATTTATTTGTTTGTTTGTTTGTACAAACAAAATAATAACATAAACCTTTAAATTAAAATGCTTTTAAGATAATGGAAAGCATAAATTTGGTATTTTTTACCCGAACTTTTAATTGCTAGTGTATCGAAATTATGACAGAAATATATAAATGCATAATATATGTAATATTGCAACACAAATTTCTAATATTATATGTATTTTTTAATATTTTGTTTATTAATACTATTACCATTATTGTTATTAATAGAAAAATAAAAAAGATATAATAAAAATAATATAACTATAAACTATAATAAAAATGTAATTTAAAATGTTATGTGTAATTTAAATGAGTCATTTATTTGTACAAACAATAATTACAAGCATTAAATCATACCCCTTTAGATTAAAATGTTTTTAAGATCATGAGAAGCATAAATTCAGTTATATGCATCTACATTTTTAACTTGTAGTTTATGTGAAATTATGTAAGAAATATAGAACAGAACAATATTTAATACATATCATTTTCGATTTTTATATTGAATTATTACTTCTGCTACTGGTGGTATTATTATTATTATTATTATTATTATTATTATTATTATTATTTTGTGTTTCAGTAGTCCATTTAAAAAAAAAATAAAAAAAAGTAGATTGAATCTCAAATAAAATGAGATCTGAGCCCTTTTTAAGACCATGAATTCCAACAATGAATTCCCGTTCACTCTGTTCAAGCGGTCTGAGTTTGGTTGTTTTAAAGAGGACAGCTTCTGCAGCTGTAAGACTTCTCTCTGACGGCCACAGGTCATGTGTGTGAGGAGTGTGTAGGTTGCAGGTGTTTGAGGAGTGTGATGTTCTCGTCCGCAGGTGAAGCCTACAGAGAACTCTGTGTGTGTGGGAGCCCTGCTCTTCTTATACACCGGTGATTTCTATCTGAACATCAAGTTCCAAGATGACAGCACGGCCCGCGACCTGCCGCCCACCTGGTTCTGTCTGCCCAGCGTCCACGTCAAAGCCCAGGAGCCAGTCGAACTCTGACCTTTGACCTGACGGACTCAATAGGCTTTTGTAAGGGACCTGGGGGAGTTCTGCTGTTTTTTAGATGACTACTGAGCTGATCTGGATATTTACTGAGTCTAGAGCGAGTGCAGTTCTAGTGTATGATGCATTTCGAGTTTGAAGATTCAATTTATGCCAAATCCTCCACTTTACGCTCCGTTCTGAAGCCCTCATTCTCCTCTTTAGAGACAGACTAAAGGATGAAGAACATTTTTCAGGTAACCACTAAGTGAAAACATCTAAGGAGGTCTTACAATTTCGTTTTAAGTGATCGTGACTGTGAAGAAATGCAAAATGTGCTGGACTGCACAACAACGTCATGCTTCTAATGCATGAAACATCTCCAGCTCATATTTCATCCCCCCCCACAGGAAAGGAATTTTACAGGAAATTATGGTTGAAGCCTGTTTTTAACCATTCATTTTTTTGCATTGTGATATTATTTTAATGGCATTTTTAAAAACATTTTTGCCTTAAGTTTGCAATCCTTCAATATTTTTGTTTTAATATATACAACAATAATTTGATTACAGATTTTTAAAACATAATCAACATTAAACAGTCAACAGATTAATTTAGATAATATAATATAAATGTATATATATATATATACATTTACATGTGTGTGTGTGTGTGTGTGTGTGAGAGTGTGTGTGTGTGTGTGTGTGTGTGTTTGTTTGTTTGTTTTTGTTTTTTTGCATTATGGTTATGAAAGCAGGAAGGGAAATGTTCCTAATTGTTATAAGAAAAATTCACAATTCTAAAAATCCTACTGGATAAAAACGGGCTTTTTAATAAAAACATTTTTCTTCTTTTGATTTTGGGCTGAAATATGATCTAAATATGTTCTCTGCAGGTTTGTAGGGGTTTGCCTTAATAGTGCATGCAAATATCAGTTTCATCTGTCACAATATTTTCATGTAGTATTGTATTAGGCAGCTTTTAGCACATTTGGGGGTTGGTGCATAAATGGATTTGTGACCGTGTGCGGGAACCATGACTTTGATATAGTTTGTAATTATGAAACAGGTCTCTCTTGAATGTGTTTGCTCATGAATCTGATGTCCATTCAGCTGATGATTTTAATCTATCTATGGATCTAAGCTAGAGACTGGTATGTTGACTTCACTTGACTTAATAATAATTAAAAACTCAAAATATAATCAAAATAGAGTTTTTCAGGACTTTTAGAATTCATTTCATAAATGTGTTTCAGGTCTAACATGTAAAAAACACCCAGACTGAAGACTGAACTTGAGCACAACAGGTTATAAATGTGTGCTGGTTTTCACCTCATATTGAACTGAGGTCATTTTTCTGAGGTGAGCTTGCTAGCAACCAATGATTGCTTGAAATGTGATATTAATGCTTTTATTGTGGTGTGGTCCAGCGATGATAATGCAAGAGGCGGCTGAAATGGTCTACATTATGTGCTGTAATGGTAAGTGATTGCAGTTGCAGTAATTCAAGTAGCATTAAACGTCCTCTCAGGGATTCCAGCGCTGAGATTGTCTCAAAGACCATCTGACCAAATTGTGTCTCTAAATCACAGAGTCATTAACAGAAGGTCATTTGCTTTTAAAATGATTGATGTAGAAGTTCAGATAATATTACAGGGGCCGTTTTTGTATAATATTTAGGTTACAGAAGGAAAGGATCAATAACTAGATTGCCTAACAATATCAGATTTAAAAAAGTTTAGGTTTTGGTTGCATTGTCATGAAAAACTGGAGTCAACGGAATATTTTACAGTATATTTTGAAAATAATATAAACCACCATTAACGAGAAGCTGCTTTTGGAGCAGAAACTTCTGCAGTGTATGAATTACAGTAAATAATAGGTCAGTTATTAGATAAAGACAATTAAGTATTTAGCAATAATTAAATTGTAAATTAAATTTATATATAAATTCATTTTAAATTAAAATTGAATAATGTCCTTAGTCTTTCCTCGTACACAGATAATAAGGTAACATTATACAACATAAGTTTGCTACCACCGGGAAAAAAATATAAACTAAATTATTGATTGTAGACACTGATTTTACTTTCAAATGTAAATGTGAAAAATAAATTGTGAATTCTACAGGCATCTAAAATTAAATGCAGTGTCTACAATCAATAATCCTCATAATTTAGTTATAATTTTGTTCTTCCCCAGTGTGAAGTTAAGTTAAGTTTATTTAATATGTTGTATAATTTGATACAATTATCTTTGTACGAGGAAAGACTAAGGACTTTTTTTATTGCATAAATTAATTTTAATTATTAATGAGTACTAAATAGAAAAATAAGGTTTTATATTTTTTATAGACCTTTACCTTTGTTTGTTTAAAACTTCCAAATGTTCAGACAGCTGCTCAAGACAATCAGCAGTGATCAAAGAGAAATGAATCATTTTAATGACACTTTAAACTTTTCATATTTATGCTTAAACACACACGAGCTCTGAATGATGAACCCAACAAACTCAGAATACTGTTTTTACGGCCCAGACCTCACAACTTCAATTATGACTCTGTGTGTGTGTGTGTGTGTGTGTGCGTGCAAATTTGTAAAAATATGGCAAATTAGTATTTTCTGATTTATGCAGTGATAAAAAGAGATCCAAAATCCCTTCTGTAAAAAGCTTGAACACTAATATGCCAACAAAATGAAACAAGAAATTTGAGCCTGGCTTTATGCAATGTTTGAATTTCTGTCCCGGAAATCTATGCAAATTAATGCATATTTAATTACATAATGCATCATTTCTTGTAGTCCAAAAATGTGAAAACTTGTAATATAAAGCATTGTCTTAATGTATTGTGATTAATCAACGGGGGGAAGTATGTTGATATCTATTAGTAAAGATTTTACCCGATTCACATGTAATGTCTCGCCTTGAAGGAATAGTTCACCAAAAAATGAAAATGTTCTGAAAGTGTGCTCTCTCAAGCTATCCAAGATGTAGATGAGTTTGTTTCTTCATCAGAACAGATTCGGAGAAATTCATCATTACATCACTCGCTCACCAATGGATCCTCTGCAGTGAATGGGTGCCGTCAGAATGAGAGTCCAAACAGCTGATAAAAACATCACAATAAAAAACTCTTCTTCCAATAAAATAGTCCATCCTCTGTTTTCTTCTCATCAAAATCCAGCAGCATATCAGTTTATGACTTGCTTGTAAACAGTGCTTGATCTGTGCATATTTCTCTTTTTCACCGGAGAAAGCGATATTATGGATTAAGGACTCATATTTTAGCTGGAAGCAACAGTTTGAAGTTAAAAGAAGTCTTTCACTTCACAAGACGTTAATTGATGGACTGGATTTGTGTGGATTACTTCAGGATTATTGTGATGTTTTTATCAACTCTTTGGAGAAAAAAAATGAAAGTTAAAGAAAAATCTGATCACTCATAAACAAAGTGGAATATAAAGTTGATATCTTGTTTATTTGCTACTAATTGATTCAGTTAACTTCACAAACTTTTACAATGTAGCTCAGTCTGTGCACAAGCCGTCTGATGCTCAACCTATATAATGGCGATAGCATATGACAACACAGAGCGCTTCCTCCCGCTCTACTGCAACCTAAAGCTGAACTGTGCAGTTGTAAGTGCACACTTGTGTGGATTAAGTGCATTAAGTGCACTTTCGGCGGTGAGCGTCAGCTGCTGGAGTGCTCTCACAGCGCATGGAAGGAGAACCAGAGGCCGCTCAAGTTATTCTTGCTGATTCAGCCACTCCAGAAGAGACACTGAATGGTTGAGCGTACATGTGCTAATGTCCATTTTCCCCATTCAGCTCCTTCTCTTAGCCACGGTGTGCAAACAGCAGTGCATTGTGGGAGACAGAGACTCCGCAGGTAGAGCTGAGAGGCATTTGTGTGTGTCTGTGGGGTCTGATCCTGATCTTTGGCGGCTTTGGTTTGTATGAGTGGCCTCTCTGTGCCTCTCCGTCTCCTTGACAACCACCTGTGAATGAGCGGGAGTCTTATCAGTCAGCAGACAACATCCTTCAGGCGCTGCAGAGCCACAGTCACATCCCTCTGGCTCTCACTCACTCTCACTCTGGCTGAATGTGCTGAACCAGGGCTCTCAGCTGTTGGGTCATGACCCAAAAAAATTGTGTAATATATATAGGCCAAACACCTTGGTGCATCCCAGGATGGAAGGTTTGCTTGACATCATCTTATTCTCACAAAACTGATAATATGACCCATACTCTACATTTATTATGGGTTCACATGCAACAAATATGAACGTGGCAGTTTGTTTGTGCAGTGAAATATTTGTAGAAATAAATAATTTAAATAATAATACTAATACACTGTAAAAAAAAATCCACGTATTTCAATTCAAAAGCTTAAGTTCAGTTGCTGCCTTAAATTTCTAAGTAAAATCTTGTTGGTTGTACAAGTCATTTCATCTTAAATTACAAAAATCAAGCTGAATTTCACATAACTTATAAAAAGTTAGAATTGCTCACCTTATTTTGATAAGAAAAAAAATAGTTAAAAACATACATTACCATGACTTACTGATCATATTCTTTACAGTGTATTAATAATGCATATATTATTATTTATATATATTTTTTTAGATATTTCATTTTTAATAAATATTTTGCTCAGTATTATGAATATAATACAGGTGCATCTCAATAAATTAGAATGTCGTGGAAAAGTTCCTTTATTTCAGTAATTTCAGATTTTTTAATGTCTTTGAAAAAAGTCTCTTATGCTCACCTGCATTTATTTGATCAAACATACAGTAAAACAGTAATACTGTGAGCTATTATTACAATTTAAAATAACTGTTTTCTATTTAAATATATTTAAAAATGTAATTTATTGTTTTGATGCAAAGCTGAATTTTCAGCATCATCACTCCAGTCTTCAGTGTCACATGATCCTTCAGAAATCATTCTGATTTATTGCTTAGGAAACATTTATTATTGTTATCAATGTTGAAAACCGCTTTCTCGTATTTAATTTTTTAGGATTATTTGATGAATAGAAAATTCGAAAGAATTGCGATTTATAGTTTCTTTTGTCTTTGCTCTGTACTATGTCTCTATAACCAAGCAAAAGTGTTTTTCAATTACAGATCAATCAATTTGGTGGGAAAAGTAATTATTTAGCAATTCAGTGCATAAATCTACTGTGCATTGTTCAGCAATTTCATTTCAAGATTCTGATCTTTTTTTTTTTTTCAACAGGATACTGTCTGATAATTCTGTTAGTGTGGCCTTCACAAAGAATGTTGTTGTTAAGGAGGAGCAGCACTTGAATTCACGTCCGTCTTCTCACTGTCTCTACAGGTCGCTATATTCTACTGTGATCTCAGGGGTCTCTACTACTACTTCATATCATATGACCCT